AAAATGGCACTAGAGTACAAAATGGCATAGACTTGGTTCTCTTTCCCATATCAAAACAAACAAAAAAAAGAGCTGAAAGTGGTACATTTAGAAGAGCAAAGTCTACTGAGTATTATCTCACATGGAAAAATCCAAGTTTACTCACCCCATGATTCACGAGGTAGTCTAGGTCTCATAAAATCTGTGACAATAAATAAAATGCTCCCCTCCCTGCTTCTTGTCTGGACTGGGAGTTTGGGCCCACTGTGGGTTCCTGAAGCACACGCTGGCTCCCTGTTTGAGGTGCTCTCAGGCAGCCTGCCTTCCTGCCCCAAGTGGACTTTCACAGTTCACACATCACCTAATGGTGTCTTTAAAACTGCAAATCCATCTTACCATTTGTGGAGAAGGACATTCTCTGATTGGAACTCATTGAGGACACAATGATTTCTTTAACCTTGAGTTTAGGATCCTCCTGTCTCAGCCTCTTGAGTGCTGGGATTATAGGTGTGTCTTGGTGCTGGGATTACAGGCATGTCTTGGATTACATGTGAGAAAGGTAATCCTTTATTATCCTTGCTAAAATGTTTGGTATCTGCCCATTTGTCCTAGCTACGTCCTTGGTTCTCGCTCAATAAAAGGTGACTGAATTTGGCATTTGGGCTGTAAGCCCCCTGATTCCAGAATTTTTGTGTCTCTTAGTTTTTTTTTTTTTCTTACTTTTCTTTTCATCTGCAGGCACCTTGTTCTTGGGACCTGACACCCTGAATAGAAGGACAACCACTCTTTGTTGTCTGCCTGGAAGGAAAACTTAATAAACCCCCAAGGACCTGTATGGACACAGCTGCTGATTTCAGAAAACAATGTTAAATTAAACAATGAAATAAGCTAGTGTTCATCGATCTTCCTAAAGTAGCACTTGAAATAATCTGTTATTAATTACATTTCTTGAGTTCTCAAAACTGGAGAATCAGGTCTCTCTAGAGGAATTTACTTCTGGCTTTTCTATAGCATACGCTGGTTCAAATGCAGAAGATGAAGCACAATCATATCAATTGTAAAAGCCGATGATTTTGAAACCAGAGAAGGGGCCATGTACCTACAAATGTTGGACACCGAAGTCTGCCTCCGGAGTGCGGTTTCCAAAGCACTGATGAACAGGATGCAAAATGATCTTAGACCTTGTATGGGTCAATTCGCAAAGAAATTTTTCTTTGGTGCTGGGGATCAAACCTAGCACGTGTGTGCTAAGTGGGCATTGTACACTCCGACAGTCCAACTTTCAGAAAATTTCAACATGACATATTTATTGTACAGGGTTGGATAATGTGCTTTTCCAATTTATGGTCCATGTAGAACCTCAGAACACAACATTACCTGGAAGTAGGTTTTTTGCAGGTGTGATTAAATGGGATCTCTACAAGAAATAATACCGGATTATTCTCTTCTCCTTCTCTTCTCTTCTCTTCTCTTCTCTTCTCTTCTCTTCTCTTCTCTTCCCTTCCTTTTCTTTTCTTCTTTTCTTTCTCCTCTCTTCCCTTCCCTTCCTTTTCCTCCCCTCCCCTCTTCTTCTTCCTCTTCATCACCTAGTTTGCAGTAACTTATTTTTGTAATCCTAGGAAATGAATATACTTTAAAAGATGTCTTAAACAGCTACATCTGGTATATAAAATCTGTGCTTTCATGACTTTTACTGGTTTGGCTAATGGTCCCCAAATTTACTTAGGTAGCAAAAAAAATATTGATTTAAATACATATCTCTCTATATATTCCCACAGGACATAGGAAACTGTTATAGAAATAGTGTGGATGGTTCATGGATAGAGGACCCACTGGGCAAACCTCGCTGCTCCAACAGCCTGGAAGGGCGTCGCGGAATCCTGGCCAACCCTTGTCTCCGTCTCTCACCAGCTCTGTGACTTCGGGCGCAGCATGAGTCATGGCTCTGTCTTCCACAGCAGTAAAATGGGGAAAATGAGAAGCATTTCACAGAACTTCTATGGGGATTGAATTCTTTTGTCTTCAGCCGTGAAACACTGAAAGCTAAGTTACCTGAACCAGCTTGGCTGATGTAGGGTGGGGCTCCTGGCAGCCGGGTTGAGGTACAAAATGACTTTTTTTTTTTTGTTTTTTTTTTTTTTTTTTTTGAGACAGGGTCTCGCTATGCAGTTCAGGCTGGCCTTGAGCTCACTTTGTAGCCCAGGCTGGTCTCGAACTTGCAGCAATCGTCCTGCCTCAGCCTCACGAATGCTGGGATTACAGGCATGCGCCACTACACCCGGCCAAAATGTCATTTTGTAACCAGTGCTCTCAACTACGAGTTGCAGGCGAGCAATGCGGGAAGTGAGCGCCGCAAAGCCGTAGGGACTGATACACAGGGCTCTGGTAAAGTCAGCTTCCGGTTTTTTCACCGTTGTACGCATTGTACGAGCTATGATGGCTTTGACTGCTCCCTCTTTTCAGTACTGATATGTTCCTGCTCCGGTATGAACTGCTGAATCATCGTGGTGGTTTGACACGGCGGAAGCCCCAAAACAACAGCCGATCTTCCAAACGACCACTCCCCGGCTTCTCCCCTCAGCCCTGAATACAACTTCCTCTTCCCCTTCCCGTGCGCGGGAGGGAAGACCCAATCAGCTCCTGACGCGTCACTGAGCCCGCCCCTCAAGCTCCGCCTCTAGCCAGGTCCTCATAAACCCCCAGCCTCTTTTGTCTGCCGCAGACCTCTCTTCTCTAGTCTGGAGTAAAGGCTTTCTTCCCTCTTTGCTTGTTTCTTCTGCGCCAAAAACCTAACAGTACTACCACCTCAGAGTTCATAAAAGTGAGCTCAAGGCCAGCCTGAACTGCATAGCGAGACCCTGTCTCAAAAAAAAAAAAAAGACCAAAAAAGTCATTTTGTACCTCAACCCAGCTGCCGGGAGCCCCACCCTACATCAGCCAAGCTGGTTCAGGTGTACTCTGACACGTCTTAGATGGGTGTGCTTTAAGAAAGTTCGGAGAAATTTTGCAAATTCCTTGCTGATCTCTAGAAACATGCTAGGATGGTTTACTAAGCAGAAGACATTTATCAGAGACTATTGTGATCACCGAGGGTCACACGGATTTGCTGGGGCTCAGAATGATCTGGACAAACTGACTAAGCCCTTGGTGGCACCAGCAAGGAGAAATGGAGCTCACGTCCTGACGTCTGTTGGTACAGCCCATAAGTGGGCATCATGCTGAGTGCCCTCTCACCAGCCAGCCAGCCCTGAAACTCCTTTTTTTTTTTTTTTTTTTTTTTGAGACAGGGACTTGCCATGTAATTTAGGAGGCTGGCCTTGAACTCACTGTGTAGCCCAGGCTAGCCTGGAACTTGCAGTGATCTTCCTGCCTCAGCCTCCCTAGTGCTGGGATTACAGGCATGGGCCACCACCTCAGGCATCCCTGAAACTCTTGACGCAGGTACTATAGTTAACATTATTATTTTTCAGGTGGGAAAACAGGCTTGGAGAAGTGAAGTAACTTGGTCTAGATGGGATAAGTGGAGGTTAAGTAAGGCAGTCTTTCTCTAGAGTTTGCACTTTTTTTTTTCCGTTTGGTACTGGGGATCAAACTCAGGCACTCCACCACTGAGTTACAACTGCACTCCTTTTCATTTTTCCTTTTTGAGACAGTCTCACTAAGCTGTCCAGGCTGGCCTTGAACTTGTGATCCTCCTGCCTCAGCCTCTTGAGTAGCTGGGATTACAGGTGTGCACCCATACTTAGGGTTGTAGCTTGCGCTTTTAATCTCCATACTGTGCTGTGTAGAAGTTTAAAAAATGTAGAAGTAGGGCTGGGGGTATGGCTCTGTGGTAAAGCACTTGCCTAGCTTGGGCCAGGTCCTACTTTCCTCCCCCAGCACTGAAAAAAAAAAAAAGCCTCCCCCCCAAAAAAACACAGTGATAGAAAAAGAACTTGGTCACTGGTAGGTCTTATTACAAACACATCTCTGCCACTTCGCAGGTATTTGACCTCGGGTGAGCTCTTAGAACTATGAATTCCAAATGAATATACCTCCTAGAATTCTTGGGGGTTGAAATAAGATAGTGTCTCACCATAAAATGGGGGCATGAGACACAACCAGCATTGTCCCAAATATTTTTCCTAAACCAGCAGTGTACTTAATCTTCACAACAACCTGCCGAGGCAGGTATGCTCATCCTCCTTATTTTACAGGTGAGAAAACTAAGGTTTTGAGAGATTTACCGAAGATGACACGGTTGGCGTGTGACAGAGCTGCTGTTCGAACTCAGGCAGTCTGACTCCAGGGCGCAGACTCTCATGTGCTGTGACTGTCCTCCTCCCCCACATGGAGAAGCCTTGGAGGATGGAGTGGAAACAATTTGAGGAGTCCTACAAGTGTAACAGCCGGTGAAAAAGTCAGCTCAGATTGAGGGTGCCTTCGTACCAGGATGGTTTCTCCTTTACGTTTTAACATAGATTTTGCTCATTTTAGACATGCTGTAGATTTTTATGTGAGCCTTATTCCTACCTTTCTGAAAAGACTAATTAGCCCATGTAATTGCCTTGGATTTCTACACATATATCCCCCTGGCCCTGACTGGTAGTAAGTGAGGCAGTGTTCACTAGAGGTGATAAATGTATGTATTGTTATACCTTGTTCCTGAGTTTTGTGAAGACGTGGTCTAATATTTTACGTCACAATATTTGGAGATTACGAACAGGATGATTATTGAGGAGTTCTAGGTACATAGTGATCATTAATTTCTTTCTTTTTTTTTTGTCTTTTTGAGACAGGGTCTTGCTATGCAGTTCAGGCTGGCCTTGAGCTCACTTTGTAGCGCAGACTGGCCTGGAACTCCCAGGGATCCTCCTACCTCAGCCTCCCAAGTGCTGGGATTACAGGTGTGTGCCACTATGCCTGGCCACCAAATGTATCTCAAACAAAGAACAAAAGAAAAAAATGAGACAAATGAAAAAACAAATAGAAAAACTACATATTACAGTGCTGGGAATTGAACCCAGAGCCTCATACATGCTAGGCAAGTGCTTTATCTCTGAGCTATATCCCCTGCTCTAAAACCACATTTTTTTTTTTTAAAGAAAAGGTACAATAGGGTCCACTCACTTTAAAACACCAAGGGGAGAAATTTTGAGAATCTCAATATAAAAGACTGAGAAGTCATTCACCAAATATTTAGATTCCCATGCGTCTCTTTCATCAACTGAGAGTTTAGCATGAGAGCAGCAGAGCTTCCAGGGCCTTGCACACTGCTGAAAACCGGAAGGGAGCACATCATCAACGCCTCACGGTCGGGTTTGGAGGGGGGGGATGTAGGTAACTCTCTGTGTTGCCCCTCCCAGCTCCCCCTCCCAGACGGGAAGACTTAGCCTCCTGCTGGTGGGATTGGATAAACCTGGCTAACACTCTCCAGCTGCTACCTCTGTAGCAGAGGAGTTGCCCATAGCCGCAGAGGACGCTGCTCCAGGTTGGGCCCAATGCCCTCCCCCAGTGCAGGGCAGGTTGCAAGGGCTCTTTCAGTTTCAGGATCCTGGCAGAGTGGCTGAGGCCATATGACTCATACTGGTCAATAAAATGTGAGTAAATGTTAGGTGTTACTTCCTGGTGGAAACTTTGTACTTTGTCTTGTACTTCTCCTCTGGGACGTGTGGAAACACTGGATTATAACCAAAATGACCTTCCCAGAACTTTGAACTTGCTGTGTTCCTGACTAGACAGTAGTATTTGAAGGAAGGAAAGAGAGAGAGAGAGTGTACCTATACAAAAGGAAAGAGACAGTTATTCTAGTCTCAGCCTTACGAGGATAACCATAATAAATAAATATAAACTCAGGACAGCGTTCCTGGAGAGATTAAGTATGTCAGTCATGTTGGTGGCCCCATGTATAGTTCATTTTGTGGGAGGGATCTATGAGTAGTGCCACTTGTCTCAGAGAATGGCATTTGTACAATTTAGAAATTTATATGGGTGACATGTTTAGACAATTATTTAAGGTATCCTTTCTTTTTCAGCAGATTCAAATGCTTTTGAGTTTTGCTTTGTCATGGCAGAGATGGATGTGAGCTTTGCGGAATGCTGATTTCACTTCTTCCAGTGACAGCCATATGTAGTTCTTTACTAGGATGACTGTACCACAGCTCTTGCTTTGGAATTGCCGAGGCCAAGGGTGTGTGTTACGGTTTGGACTTGAAATGTCCTCCAGAAGGCTCATGTGTTGAAGGCTTAATTCCTAGTGCAGGAATGTTCACAGGTGGGGCCTAGAGTGGTGATCAGATCAGGAGGAAGGTGATCCTACCAATGGATTAATCCACTGAAGTGTTCATAGCTTAATGGGCTATGAGGTAGAGGAAGTAAATCAATGGGGGTGTAACTTTGAAGGGCATATCTTGTCCCACGCCCCTTCCTGCCAGGCTCCTTTCTGTGTTTTCAACCATGAGTTAAGTGGCTTTGCTCTACTGCACCCTTCTGCCATGATGTTTCTGTCTTTCCACAGGCCAAGAAACATGGAACCACCTGACCATGGACTGAAACCCCTGAAACCATGAACCAAATGAAACCTTTCCTCCTTAATGTTCTCATTCTCAGGTATTTTGTTACAACAATAGAAAGCTGATGAGCATCATATTTGAACTTTGGTCCATGGGCCACATCCAACCTGTTGCCTGTTTTTAGGTTGTGAAATATCACCTTATACTTAAATTTTACTTAAATTAATATTATATTCATTATTTTATTTATTTATTTTTTGTCTTTTTGAGACAGGGTCTTGCTAGGCAGTTCAGGCTTGCCTTGAGCTTACTGTGTAGCCCCGGCTGGCCTCAAACTCACAACAATCCTCCTGCCTTAGCCTCCTGAGTGCTGAGATTATAGGCATGTGCCACCATGCTTGGCTATTATATTCCTTAATAGATATAATGCCTTTTACATTTTTAAATGGTTAAAAAATTAAAAGTATAATACTTAATGGTACATAAAATGATATGAAATCCAATTTTGATGTCCATGAACAATGTTTTTTGGCACACAGCCATATCCATTCATTTCTATGTTGCTTGTGGTTTCTTTTGTTCTTCAAGGCAGGGTTGAATGGTGGCAACAAAGATTCTATGGCCCACAAAAGCGAGGCTACTTACTAGTGGGCCCTTTACAGGAAAAGTGTGCTGACCATTGTTACATAGCTTAGACAAATGAGCTTCTTCTCCTTTACCAGACTCTTGAGTTGAAGTTGTTGCTGATACCTCTGATGTGTTCCTACAGGCTGCTGGAAATCAGTAATTCCACAATGTGCTCCTCTTTGGACCTGTAGTTCTTCTTTTTTTTTGTGACAAGGTCTCACTATGCAATTCAGGCTGGCCTTGAGCTTACTTGGTAGTCCAGGTTGGCCTCGAACTCGCAATGATCCTCCTGCCTCAGCCTCCTGAGTGCTGGGATTACAGGCATGCGCCACCATGCCTGGCAGCTGTATTTCTTTTTTCTGGACCTAACTTCTGAATACTTCAAGGAGCAAAGCCACTTTCTTCATCACCCCTCTGTCTGTGATGAGCAGGTCCATCTTCCTCCATGGTTCCCTGGGTCCTCTGAGGGAAGTCAGCTGAATTTTTAAAAAATGGAAATCTAAGCTTCTCTTTTTTTTTTTTTTTTCCCTCCGGTACCGGGAACTGAACTCATGACCTTGCGCTTGCCAGGCAGGCGCTTTTGCCGCTGAGCTAAATCCCCAGCCCCTAAGCTTCTTAATTTATATCTTTTCTTCTCTACATAAGCAAGGCTAATGAGGATGGATCAGAGTGTCTTTATTTTATCTTTTTTTTTTTTCTCCCTGGATCAGACTTCTCTATGTCTGAAATACTGTCCTAGATTTTTCTCTTTTGGCTTTTATACCTAATGAAAGAATTGAAATTAGTGAGTTTTGGCTTTGTCTAAAGCATTCATTGTCTATAAGCTTCTTATCTTGTGTGCCTTCGACCTCCTCAAATGTGTAATCCTGTATCTGAGAAATAGTCTCCCATAAAATCTCCTGGCTTATTTCCTCAGAACAAAAGCAATTTAAAAAAAAATAAGCATGTCAGGCTGCATGTGTAGCTCAGTGGTAGAGTGCTTATCTAGCCTGTGTAAGGCCCTCGAATTGGTCCCCAGCTTTGCACAAAATAAACAAACACAACCATGTCTTGAAACTTGGTGGGGTTTTAGGATTCTTAAAATATCTGTCCCAGTCTTCCTTTTCAACCCACCTAGATATTCTGGCAAAATTGCCTCGTGTAGCAGTCCCACTCTTTATAGAGTGGCTCCCTGATTCCCCTCCCAATGGACTTGAACAACTGTAGCAGGTACTTCAGAGGGTTTTCCTGACCTTTGAGGTGCATCAGTTTGCTAGGGCTGTTGTAGCACGGCACCATATGTTGTTCTCATTCTGGAGGCCAGAAGTGGGCTTGTAAAGGTTGGTTCATTCCAAGGGCTGTGAGGGGAGGATGTATTCCAGGTCATAGCTTGTAGATGGCTGTCTTCTCCATGCATCTCTTTATACCATCTTCTTTCTCTACATGTTTGTGCCTGTGTGCTAGTCACATTCCGGTCACTGGGACAGAAAGCCTGACATCCACTGCTGGAAGGAGGAGAGCTTTATTTTGTCTCATGCTTTCAGCAATTCAGGCCATGGCTGGCTGGCTCCAAAGCAGAAAAGGCATGGTGGAAGGACATGGTGGAGGAAAATTGCTCAACCCATGGCAGTGGCAGTAATGAGAGAGAGAGAGGGGAGAGAGAGAGAGAGAGAGGGGAGAGAGAGAGAGAGAGAGAGAGAGGGAGAGGGAGAGGGAGAGGGAGAGGGAGAGGGAGAAGAGAGAGAGGAGTGAGAGAGGGAGAGAGAAAGAAAAAGAGAGAGAAAGATTTTGAGAAGCATAACTTTGGAGAGGAGCAGAACTTTGGCCTGCTGAATTAATACCAGCTGTAAATACCAGATGCTATAAGAAAAAAGGCCAATTCTCTTTGGCCCGTGTACATTTGACTGCCTTTTATAATTTCAAGTACTAGCTTGCTGTCCTTGCCAAGAATGAAGAGAGGAAAAATGATTCCACTTATGTTTAGTAGTGTTGTAAAATGTAGTTATGAGAGGAGGGAGGGAGAGAGAGGGACGGACAGAGAGGGAGGGAGGGAGAGGGAGAGAGAGAGGGAGAGAAAGAGACCTGGAGAGAATACACCCTTCTGCTTGTGCCCCTGTTATCCACCTATTGTGACCAGGCCGCACCTCCTAACAGTGCATTCAGCTCTGAGGTCCTCCAAGGACTAACCCACTGATGAGTATAGTGCTCTCATGATTCAGTCACCTTTTTGAAAAAAGCCCCATCTCTGAACACACAAGACTTCTGGGGGCATTTTAGATCTAAACCATAGCAGTTTCTGTGCACATTTCCTTTCTTTTTGTAAGATCTCTCTACTCTACTATGACTTCATTTTAACCAGTTGCAACCCTGCTTTCAAATTAGGTCACAAAGCCGGGCGTGGTGGTGTACACTTGTAATCCCAGCACTCAGGAGGCTGAGGCAGGAGGACTGTTGCGAGTTCGAGACCAGCACGGGCTACAAAGTGATCTTAAGGCCACCCTGAACTGCATAGCGAGACCCTGTCTCAAAACAATTAAAAAAAACAAGACAATACAAAACACCCATAAAACAAAACAAAACAAAAACCAGAAAAAAGAATTAGGTCCCAATCTGAGGTAGTAGGAGTTCTTTTATTTTTTGTTTCTTGCCCTCTATTTTTGCTTTCCTAGTAACACTGAAACACATCTTTTAGAATCAATGCATTTCTTTCCTTATTTTCTGAGCAAAACTGAGTCCTAGAGACAGAATGTACCAGGTAGGGGCATTTTAAATTGTCTTTGTTTTTTTTTTTTCATTTTGCAATTTAATTTTTTTTTTTCTTCTGGTACCAGGAATCGAACTCACGACCTTGTGTTTGCCAGGCAGGCACTGTGCCACTGAGCTAAATCCCCAGCCCCTGAAATTTAATTTTTAAAGATTTAAAAAATACTATAGTAAAACACAGACAACATGAAATTTACATCTTCACTTTTTGAGTGTGCAGTTCAATAGTGTTAGGTACATTCTTGGATTGTTGTGTTTAAATTCTCAACCTTTGATTTATGATAATTTCATTTTATGTGGCTTATAATAATTTGATTAAATAATTTCTCTTCTTCATGCCAAAAGATGGCAGGTACCTTGTAGAATGATATCCTGTGTTGTTTTCTTCTCTAGTTTTTTATTATGAAAACTTTTAGATATAAAGAAGAGTTGGTAGAAAAGTATAATGAGCACTTAATGTCTACACTCAACAGTAATATTTACTAGCATTTGAATTGCTTTGTCTATCTGCATGTATACTTATATGTAAGTGTACATGTACATATATACATATATGTAAGTGTATATATTTACATATTAGTTTATGAATGTATGTGTATAAAATTATACAAAATATATACTTTTCTGTACCATCTGAAAACAAATTATGGAAATCAGAACACTTTGCCCTGATATTCCAGCACTTTTTTTTTTTTTTTTGGTTTTTCTCTGGTACCGGGAACCGAACTCACGACCTTGCGCTTGCCAGGCTCCAGCACTTATAACATAAAAATGAAGGTAGTCTCCTATACACCATCATTATCACATCAAGAAAATGAACAAACTTCCTAATACTATAATTTAATAGTCTATATTCAAATTTCCTTAGTCATCTCTAATATCTTTTCTAGAATTATTATTTTTTTTTAAAATTTTTGTTCTTTGAGCCAGGACAAAACAAGGTTCGTACATTGTATTCCAATTCTGTTTTGTTTGTTCACTGGAATATTTTTTTACTACTTTGTGGTCGAAGGCAAAACTTGGGTCTATAAAATAAAATCAAAACCAAAATACAGTGTATTTATGAAATTCACAAGTTATTGTGGACAAACCAAACAATTTCAAGAGATTTATAATCAACACTTTCCTTGGCCCTAAAACAACATGGAGAGGAGGAGAACTCTGGTCTGCTGAATTACCGCCAGCTGTAAATACCAGATGCTACAAGAAAAAAGGCCAATTCTCTTTGGCCCGTGTACACTTGACTGCTTTTTATGATTTCAAGTACTAGCTTGCTGTCCTTTCTAAGAATAAAGAGGGAAAATGATTCCATTCATGCTCAATAATGTTGTAAAATGAAATTCTATGAGATTTCCATGATATGAAAATACTTTTTTTTCCTGGTGACCTTTGATTCACTCACACCTGCTTAAATGTAAATCTGCCGATAAAACCCAGCCTTGTGCCTGTAAACCTCATCCAAAATATAATGCGTTGTGGCCTAGGGAGGCCAACGCTCACAGAGGTGCCTCTGCCTTCATTTTTCCACATGTTGTTTCAGTTGCCCTGGTGTAGTATTGATTTCTCAAGAGTTTCTGATCAATATGGCAAGAGGTGGGGGACAGTTGGAGTGAGGACTAATCCTGCTCCTTTCCAACTTCCCAAATTCAGAAACATTTGAGAGGTAGATTAAGGGTCATTCAGGAGGTGGAGATGGGCTTCTGGTTGTAAAGTAGACTGGAGAATGTGGTTGTACCTAGTGCTGGGCCTGTTCTGCTGTGAATTCTAGACTCCGAGTTAACCCACTGGGTGGGGGGAATTTAAGTATTTAAAAGCCTACTTATATACCCAGAATTCCCACCTCACACTTGTGAGCCTCAAGAGTGACACCTGGGTACTGTTTAAAAAGTGAATGCATGCCTGGCAAGTGCAAGGTCCTGAGTTCGATTCCTGGTACCAAAAAAAAGTGAATGTAGCCAGGTGTGGTGGCCACACCTGTAATCCCAGCACTTGGGAGGCTGAGGCAGGAGGATCGTTGCAAGTTCGAGACCAGCCTGGCCTACAAAGTGAACTCTAGGCCAGCCTAAACTGTATGAGACCCTGTCTCAAAAAGACAAAAAAAAAAACCAAACCAAACCAAAACAAAACAAGACAAAACAAAAACCAACAACCCAAACCCGCAAAACAAAAAAAGAATATTAAAAAATGGATGTATCTAATTTAAATACAGTAAAATCTGTCATTTTCAAGGTGTAGTTGAGTGTGTCTTGACAAATATATAGAATCACATAGCATTATCATCACTCCAGGAAGTTCCTTCTCATACCTTTACAGTCTCCTCTCTCTCCACATAGCTTGTTTCCAGAATGTTCTTTATTTTTTTCTTTTATGACAGGGTCTCACCAAAGTTCAAGCTGCCCTTGAACTCATTATGGAGCTCAGGATAACTCCAAGCTCACAGAGCTCCTCCAGCCTCAGCCTCCCAAATGCTGGGATTACAGGTATGCACACATACCTGTCCAGCATATTCTATAAGTGAAATTGTTCAATGTGTAGCTTCATGTTGTTGCATATGTCAGTAGGTTGCTTTTTCTTACTACTGAGTGGTCTTTCATTGTGTGGATGTCCCCATCCCGTTATCTATTCACCAGTTGACAGAACTTTAGTTTTGGTTTGTTTTTTTTGTTTTTTTTCTGGTGCCGGGGATCGAACTCACGACCTTGCGCTTGCCAGTCAGGCGCCGTGTCACTGAGCTAAATCCCCAGCCCCAACTGACAGAACTTTAGGTTGTTTCTGTTTGGGGGGCTATCATGGATGAAGTTGCTAAACATTTGTGTGTGGGGCTGTGTAGACCAATGTTTGTTTTTTCTCAGGTAAATTTCTAAGAGAATTGTTGGATCATACAATAAGTGAATATTTAATTTTGTAAGAAATGGTGCACTGCTTTTTAAAAAATATCCTACCCAGTGAAGAAATGTGAACCAATGTATGTTATACTCTCAATACTCGAGAGATTATGTGAAGAATCCGGCTAACTGAGGTTCTCTCTGGGTGCCTCTTAGGGTCCAAGTGTGTTCAATTTCTTTCTCGGTTGCTGATGTTTTAGTTAATGCTTTCATGAGTTATCTTCTGGTGCCTTTAATCACCTGTTTCTTCTGTCTGGTTCTTGCATCGCTGCAGCCCACCTTTTCTACTCAGCAAATATAGGTCGAATATCCCTTATCTGAAAGGCTTGGGACTAGAAATGTTTCAGATTGATTTTGGAATATTTACATATGTATAATGAGATATCTTGGAGAAGGGACCCATGTCTAAACATGAAATTTATTCATGTTTCATGTACACTTTATGCACAAAGTCTGAAGATTTTTTTTTCTTTTTGAGACTGGGTCTCGCTATGCAGTTCAGGCTGGCCTTGAGCTCACTTTGTAGCCCAGGCTGGTCTCGAACTCACGATGATCCTCCTGCCTCAGCCTCCCGAGTGCTGGGATTACAGGCGTGAGCCACCATGCCTGGCTCTACATGAAGATAATTTTATACAATATTTTTGTGGCACTTGTGTTTTGACTACAACCTGTCAGTCGGGTGAGGTCATTTTCCACTCATGGCATCAGGTCAGGGCTCAGAATTTTCAGATTTTCATCCAGGTGTAGTGGTGCACATTTACATCCCAGTTCTCAGGAGGCTGAGCAGGAGGATCATGAATTCGAGCCCAACCTGGGCTTCATAGCAGGAGTGTCAAAAAACGTTTCAGATTTTGGAGCATTTCAAATCTTAGATTTCTTTGCATTAGGAATATTCAGTCTGTATATGCAAATCCTAGTCTTTTACCTCTCTCCCTTCCTCTTGCTCACTCTTGCTTCTGCTCTTCTTTTTGATCCCTTTTGCTCTCCTTAAGCTTTAATAACAAGGGAAACAACTGTGTTGTTAGAAAATGCAAATAATAAAAAGGCCAAAAATTAAATTACTCATACCAACCAGAAAGAAACAGTTTATCTTCTGTTCTTTGTTCCAAATTTTTCCTTCCTTTTTCTATTTTTCTAATTAAACATTTTTATATTTAACAAAAATGGGTTCATAACATGTGGTATACAACTTGCTTTTTGTGCTGACCCATATGTATATACACCGTGAACCCGTCGTCTCATCATCTCAGAGTCCTCCTGCTGTATATAATTCATTCATTTAAAATCTGTATATAGGGGCTGGGGATTTAGCTCAGCGGCGCAGCGCCTGCCTGGCAAGTGCAAGGTTGTGAGTTTGATTCCCGGTACCAGAGAAAAAACAAAACAAAACAAAAAAACCAAAAACAAAAAATCTGTATATAATTCATTCATTTAAAGAGGTAGCTCTCTTTAGTGGCTCTTTCAGCCTAAAGCTGTGGTTTCCAAGCTCTGCTGTACCCTGGAATCATCTCGGATTTACAACTCAGCCACCTGGTTCCCACGCCTAGACTGTGATTAATTTGTTTTCACAGCACTTTGGGCATGCAGAGTTTTTGAAACTCCCCAGGTGCTGCTAAGGCACAGTGAAGTTGGGGACTGACTGGCCCAGAGTGGAAGTCTGCACCCTTCAGGCTGTCCACCAAATCCAGCCTGCCGCCTGTTTTTCTGTGGCTCTGTGTGTTTTACATTTTTAAGTGTTAAAAAAAGAATAATAATATGTTATGCCATATGACATTATATGAAATTAAAATTAAAGTTCTATCAGCAATCTATTGTTGAAACACAGCTATGATTATTTATTTATGCATTGTCTATAAGCGCTGCTTTTTTTTTTTGGTAGCAGGACTCGAACTCAGGACCTTGCCCTTGCTAGGCAGGTGCCTGTGCTGCTGAGCTAATTCCCTGGCCTCTATAAGTGCTGCTTTTGTGCCACGGTGGCAGATGGTATGGCTTGCAGAGCCTAAAATACCTACTATCTGGCCTTTCAGAGAAAATAATTGCAGATCCTGGCCTGAAGCATAGTCGTTTGTGAAGCAAATGAAGAATTTTGTGATGAGGCCTGGACCTTTCTCTCCTATTTACTTTCCTACTTGTGTCTTTGGCTCCTTGTATAACAGTACCATCTGGAGCTCTTCGAAGTCTGTGGGTGTAGTGTGCCTTTTGCCTGAAATGTTTATCCTTTCCTGCAAACTCATACTTGTCCTTCAAGACTCTCTCAAGCAGACCCCACCTTTCAGAATTTCCTCCTTTCTCTTGGTCACTATCTTCTGTCCATTTGAATGGAATAGTCTCGAATAAAGCTCTCCCCACAGAGTGTTGCGGCTGTAATTTAGCATTTTGCTCTCCCACAATACTTCTCAGAGGTAGAGGCTGCAGTCTACTGACTGATGCATTCCTGGCTCCTAGCATGGGGCCTGGGTGATCAGTACATAATTACAGAATGTCCAAACTAATATATGACCTGGTGGGTATGGCTACAGTAGGCTTTGGGAGCTAAAAATGCACCAGGGAGACAAGGGAGAAATGTCCAACCTTGTGGAAGAGGAGGCTGGTAGAAGCAAGCATAGGGTCACAGCGTTAATTTAATGTAAATGGAAAAAGCAGAATACAAAGTAATATGCACATTATGCTGAGAGTTATGTGGGCTGTTTAATTATTTGGTATGGTGATGATGATTGCTGCTATTTTAATCAAGTGCTCATCACCTAAAGTGACCAGCCACTTCTGTCTCTTGTGATGGGGACATCAGGTCACTTGGAGCAGTCACTTGGGATAAGCTCCTAAGAGGGACACTTAGATGGAGGTATGAGAAGATAGAGGACATTGACTTAATGGGGCAAAAACCAAATGCAGGATATATTCTGATACCCCTTGTTTTATTTTATGTTATTTTATCTAAATTTTTTTCTAACACCCCTTATTTTAGAGAACTTGAAGACTGTTGAAAAGCAGGTAGGCAAATTGGTCTAGGGCAGTGATGGTGAACCTACCTAAAGACCTTGCTCAAACGGCCACCCCCAAACAAAACTCACTTCTTATAGCCATGCGTGGTGGTGCACGCCTATAATCCCAGCACTCGGGAGGCTGAGACAGGAGGATTGTTGCGAGTTCGAGACCAGCCTGGGCTACAAAGTGAGCTCAAGGCCAGCCTGAACTGCATAGCAAGACCCTCTCTCCAAAAGACCAAGAAAACCCCACCCCAAAACCACTTATTGCAAAGCAGCCTACATTGCAATTAAACCTGAACACTTAGGTTTTAGTTTAGAAAAAACAACTTATATATTAACATCTTTTGTTTTAAAAGAAAACCAAATAACACCTACATCATAGGTTTGGCCACCACTGGCCTAGGGGCTCAGAAGTCTTCAGGGAGACCTGACCTTTTCTTCTTGGGATTCAAAGTCAAGAGACTGTTACTATGAAGGGTTGGGGAAAGATAATTGAGCAGAAAGGACCAGAGGCCCTCAGGGGAGATTTCTCACATAAAAGAGGGAATCTGGCTTTTTGGCCTGGGCTGGCCACCATAGCCCTGGTTGTTGTAAGGGGAGAATATTGATGGTTGATACTGGAGGACTAGACACAGTGGGCATGCATTATTATGTTCTTCACACCCTTGTTTTCTCATTCAGGTCTCAGGAACCAGGACTCTCCTTGGTCTTTGAAGTCCTTGGCTTGCTCAGAGTAGCAGAAAGTGAAGAACAACAGTGTGGCTATAGGTGGGATAGGAGAATGGACTTAATTTGAGTGTTAAAATAAACAAGACCTTTTTTTGTATCCCAAGTTGCTGGTTATATGTGTATAATATGCATGTAATTCGGTAAGGTCAGAATGGCACCAGACACAAAACACACAGAAAAATAAAAATAGTACAGCAGTGTTAAAAGTGTTGGAGTTCAATTGGTTTTCCTTCAGTGTGGTTATGTCTTTAATAAAAAGGTCAAAACATGTTATTGTTATTTGCATTACAATTAAATTTACATTGAAAATAAATCTTTAAGAATTGGTTTACTTTCTAGTGTATTTTGTTATTTTAGTTATCATTTGTTTTCTGTATTTTAACTTTTTTATAGGCTCTTTTTCTTTTCTTTTTTTTCTTTTTTTTTTTTTTTT